CCCCAACACCTCGCGCTTCTACTACTACAACGCCAGCAGCCAGCGCACCGTGTGGCACCGGCCCCGCGACTGCGACATCATCCCCCTGGCCAAGCTGCAGACGCTGAAGCAGAACACAGAGTCGCCCCCGCCCCAGAACAGCCCCGGGCGCAGCAGCACCGTCAGCAGGGAGGGCAGCACCGGCTCGTCCCTCGAGCAGGACATCGACACCGACAAGGGGCAGGGGCAGCAGCGGCAGGGGCAGCACTACGGGGGGCTCAAGGAGGAGCCCGACAGGTAAAGGGAGGGGGGGGGGAAGGGAGCGCTCGTCATGAGGGGCTTCGCTTCCGTGGGAGAAGGGGTTTTATGGATCAGCTCAGGCTCTTCCTGGGGGGTTGATCCACCGTAAATCCACCGTAAATCACCCCCCGGGGGTGTTTCTTGGGAAGGGAAATCCCAGGAAAAAAATATGGATTTTAGGGGAAGGGATGGAGAGGAAAAGAACAGAAAGCAGAGCCCTCATCCTGAGGATTTTCCCTTCCTTGGGAAAAGGGGTTTTATGGATCAGCTCAGATTGTTCCTGGGGGTTGATCCACCATAAATCACCCCCTGGGGTGTGTCTGGGGGAGGGAAATTCCAGGGAAAACCGTGGATTTTAGGGGAAAGGATGGAGAGGAAAAGAGTAGAGAGCAGAGCCCTGATCCTGAGAGTCTTCCCTTTCCTTGGGAAAAGGGGTTTTATGGATCAGTTCAGGCTCTTCCTGGGGTTTGATCCACCATAAATCACCCCCTAGGGGTGGGAAATCCCAGGAAAAAACCCATGGATTTTAGGGAAAAGGATGGAGAGGAGCCCTGAGGAGAAGAACTTGGGGTGCTGGTGGATGAAAAGAAATGGGATATGACCCATCCATGTGCGCTGGGAACCTGGAATTCCCAATGTCCTGAGCTCATCCCAGGCAGCAGGAAAGGAGGGAATTCTGCCTCTGGAATTCCCGGACTTCATAAAACAATGAGGAAAAAAGAGGGAAAACCATCAGGAAAAGGTGTTTTCCACTCTCAGGGACAACTTGGATTTGTTTTTCCTATGGAAAGGTTGGTCCCAGGAATATTTCCTTGTCCTCTTGGAATTCGGGTTTTGGGGTTGGAATTTGGGAAATGGGGGTTTGGGATTTCCTGGAAAAGGAGGAAGGGGAGGGATTCAGGGCTGGGCCGCTCCTGGGATAATTCCCCTGGGAAAAGGGAAGGGATTGAATTCTTAAAATCCAACTGCACACGGACAAGGTTCCAGGGACTTTGAAATTATGGAATCCTGGAATGCTGGGGGTGGGAAGGATCATCTCATCCCATTATCCCAGGTCGTTCCAACCTGGCCTGGAGCTCTTCCCAGGGAGAAGTTCTTCCTGGAACTCTTGGGTGCCCCTGGAGATCGACCGTTCCCACCATTCCCAGCATTCCCAGCTCCAGGTGCTCCTCAAACCCTTGGACGCTCCTGGGGATTCCAACTTCTCTGGGAATTCCATCCCAGCCCCTCCCCACCCTCCCAGCCAGGAATCCCTTCCCAATCTCCCCCCTAACCCTGGGCAGCCATTCCCTGGGTGCTGTCCCTCCAGCCCTCATCCCAAATCCCTCTCCAGCTCTCCTGGAGCCCCTTCAGGCCCTGCAAGGTTCTCCAAGGTCTCCCTGGATCCTTCCCTTCTCCAGGCTGGACATTCCCAGCTCTCCCAGCCTGGCTCCAGAGGGGCTCCAACCCTTGGAGCATCTCCTGTCCCCTCTGGACTCTCTCCAGCATCCTTTGGGAAGCTGGATGCAGCATTCCAGGTGGGAATGTTGACGCAGCTGGATCTCATTCCCAGAGCAATTCCCAGGGGATCCAGGGCCGGATTTGAACCTCCCTGGGCTTTCCCTCAGGATCAGCAGCTCCCTGTGGGAAGGCCCATTCCCATTCCCCACGGAGCAGCTCCGGGTCCCTCCTCCATCGTGTCCTCCTTCTCCATTCCCTGGGAATTCCGGGGTATTATGGCATGCAAAGCCGGTGGATCCGGTGGAAAAGCAGGCCTGGAATCCCCAGCAGGAATTTTGTAATCACTGGAAATCTGCCAGTAGTGGAAAACAGGGAATCAGCCGTGGGAGGGAGGGGTGGACTGAGGTGACCCCATTCCCAAAAATCCAGAGTCTTGGGATAGGGGGGGATTGAAATTAAATCCCAACAACTGGAGAAATGATGGAATCAGGTGCCACCAGGGAGAGCGGATATTCCCGCTTTTTCCCTGGATTTCCCTCTCCACTGGGAGCACCTTGAGGCCTCTGGAATCCCATTCCCTCCTTTCCCACATCCCTGGGAAGTGTCCAAGGAGCGTCCTGGGATAGCGGGAGGTGTCCCGAGGGTCGGAACTGGATGATCCTGGAGATTCCCAAAGATCCAGGAAGGGATTTTCCA